TTTTTATTGTTGTCTATTTTTTGAAATTCTATTCTTGTCCTTTATATGGAATTCAATTGTTTTGTTGTTGTTGTTTTTCTTCTTCTTCTTCAAAATTCAATTAACAATTCAAAAATCGTCAACTGTTGCATACCTTTGTGATTAACATTTGTTTGCATTCATGCTCACTTCCCCATCACACACACTCTCTCTCTCTCTCGCTATATGGGTATGATACTCCCACATTTGTCACTGTGTGTGTGTTATGAATTTTTAATGACATGTTGATAAACAAACAAACAGACAATGACAATGATAAGTACCAACCGGAAAACATTAGATAAGCTGGTTATTTATATGGTTGCATTCTCATGAGATAAAAAAGGGAGAGAGAGAGAGCAAGAGGCGAGAAGGGGAGGGAGAGAGGCCTTATAAACAACACACGGGTTTTAATGAAAAATCAAAGCCTGGTGGGATAAATTTGAGGTGTAAATAATTTATTTGGATATTTCCGTTGGAAAATGTGAGAATTTTGAAAGAAAATTGAAAACCCAAATTTTATGTTAATTTTTCCCCCATCGCCCCCTTTAACAAACGGCCCTCTTTAAAAATATTTCCCTGCTAATGACTTTGAAAATTCCCCCATGTGCAAACATGACTTTATTTTAAGTTTAATTGTCTATAAACCATTCTCTCCCTCACTCCCAGCACTCTCTGTCCCTCCTTGCCACTCACCGGCTACCTCTCTTTATCATCCCAATTAATAAAACAGAGTCCTTGACTTACACTACACTGGTTAAGTGGTCCTGGGGTATTTTTATTATTATTATTATTAACCAAACAAGGTTCACCTCAATGGGCAAATTTGTTTTTTCTTCTTCTATTTACTTCATCTCCTAGAGCAAAGCAACAAAAAAACAACAACAACAAGAACCATGATATAACCCGAGAAGGGCAGCCATCATCACACACACACACACAACACAATGAAAGGGATAGTGAGTGTGACTTTCGTTCTATATAACGATGAACGAGAGTACTATGCCTCGGGTAATGCTGTCGTTGGTGCTATGGTTGTTGTTGTATTTGTTATTGCATGTGTGAAGAAGTGCATTGCAGTAGTTACCAAAAATAGTAACATGATTTGTTTTTGCATGCAAGCATGCATGCAAAGCTTTGTTCAGCATGCATGAATGAGTAATGGCGGGCGCGAGAGAGAGAGAGAAAGAGGTAGAGATTCACTGGTTTAATTTAATTTGCAGAGATGGGAATAGGGAATTATTACAAAAAATAAAGGAATTATGGGAAAAATATAATAAAATATTAAAAAATAAATAAAAATATTTAAATAAAAAAAATTAGTATAATAAAAAATAAATAAAAATTATAATAAAAAATATTGTAATAAAAAATAAATTAATAAAATAAAAAACAAAAAATTATAAGAAAAAAATTAGTTATTATAATTTAAAAAATTAAAATAAATTATTATGATTTAAAAAATTATAAAAAATATTATAATTTAAAAAATAATAAATTATTACAATTTAAAAAAAAAATAAGTTAATTTAATTTAAAAAAAATTATTATAACTTAAAAAATAATAACATTTAAAATTAATAAATTTTTAAAATTAAAAAATAATAATAAATTATTGTAACTTAAAAAAAAATTATAAAAAATATATTTTATAGTTCAAAAAAGTATTAGCCCAGAGATGGAAATTATTAATTCATTTTAAAAATTCTTATTTTTTTTCATTAAAAAATTTATATACATTTTAATGAAAAAAAATCATTGACTCCCATTATAAAAAAATTATGAATTTTCAATATTTATTCTTTTTTCTCATAATTTCACTGACCTCCCTTCTCAATCTACATATATCACCCTACTTCTGCACACCAATTTCAAAGAATATGAAACATGAAAAAAATAAATATTTTATTTATGACCTCCTCTCCCAGAAGTAAACGCTGAAAATAAATTCCATCTTTCGCAAGACGGGATTTTGGGACACAGTTGTCATTTCCATTGAATTTCAGGTAACAACAAATCGCAGACAGAGAATATTTCGTAAATCACTTCACTGTTTTTTTTCTTCTTCTTCTTCGGATTGTAATATAAGATGGTCATAATTTTATTGTATGACCGGGTGGCGGATCTGCCTGTCTGTGTGTGTTACAAAATTTGTGTGTGTGTGTCATAAAATTTTTGTTAATGGTTTATGGCCATGTCATAAAGGTGTTAATGTCTGGCCCATATTTATGAGCGCTTTGCAATTTGTAAGGCTATTTTTAAGGAGGCTCAAAATAAATAAGGCACAAAGAGAGAGAGACAGGGAGAGAGGGGGAGAATGAGAGACTGTCAGGTAATGAAAATATTTCATAAAAATAAGTCCTCGTATTAGTAATAAAATAAAATATTGCTTAACTGAGATTTTTCTGTGGGTGTATATACCAGAGATGGGAAAAATAATTATAACAAAAATTTAAAGAAATTTAAAAATAAAGAAATTTACAGGGTTTTATACACAATTATAAAAAATTATTTTATCTACGAAAAATATTATTTTAATTTGAGGAAAATATATGGCGCCCAACCTGGAGCAATTTTTTTTCCAAAAATTTCAATTTTTTTCTTTGAAAAATTTTTTTGGACATTTTTTCGGAAGATATGAAATTCTAATACACAATTATAAAATATTTTTTAACTATAAAAAATTCGAATTACAATTTGAGGAAAAAATATAGCGCCCAACTTGGGGTAATTTTTTCTAAAAATTCATGTTTATAAATTTCTTAGGACCTTTTTCTAAAAAATCTGAAATTTTACTAAATAAAATTTGGGTCCAAAAATTGTGGTCACCATTTTGGGGCCAACATTTTATTGAAAAGAAATGGCGCCCAACGTGGGAAATTTCTCGTAATAAAAATAATCTCAAATTTTACCATTATTTAGAAGTTTGGAATTAAAATTGAGACATTTTTTCTCACAATTTTCATTTTTGGCTTCCTTTTGAGAAGTGGCGCCCAACGTGGGAAATTTCTCTTCATAAAAATTATCTCAAATTTAACCATTATTTAAAAGTTTGAAGTTAAAATTGAGACATTTGTTCTCACAATTTTCATTTTTTGGCTTCCATTAAAGAAGTGGCGCCCAACGTTAGGAATTTCTCTAAATTTAAAAAACCTCAAATTTTACCATTATTTAGAAGTTTGCTGTTAAAACTGAGACATTTTCTTCTTAAATTTTTCATTTTTGGCTTTAATTAAAGAAGTGGCGCCCAACATGGGGTACTTTTTTTACTAAAAAGAAGAGTGGAGTGCAAGTGTTTATTTTGATTTCAAAACATGGCCTACAACCTGACTCAAATGGCTTTCAAAATTTTCATTTTTTCATAATTTAGAAAAAAGTGGCGCCCAATGTGCGTCGCTTTCCCACAAAAAATTACGATTTTTCATTAAATTTTTAAAATTTGACAGCTATGATGATAGGATTTATTCATACTATGAAAATTGAGGCCTTGTTTCAAAATTTTATGGAATTTTTTGAGTTTCCAAAAAGTGGCGCCCAACGTAAATGAGTTAATTTTTCAATGATTTTGGCTATTTCTTGTCTCCTATTGTTTTTTTTTTGTGGTCTATTAAATAATTAGGGACATTTTTCAGGATAAAATTTCGTTTTAGCTTTGTTTTGAAAAATTGGCGCCCAACGTGCGAACATTTTTTTTTAATGAGAAATCTGAAAATGTTGCTTTGAGTTAAACAAGAAATGGCCCAATGTGGCTCACTATGTTCTCAAAATTTGGATTTTTGCATAATTTATTAAAAAGTGGTGCCCAATGTGGGTCAATTTTTCACACAAAAATTACGATTTAATATCAAATTTTTAAAATTTAAAATAATGAGTGCATTTATTGATACTATGCAAATTTAAACCTTGTTTCACAATTTTATGGAATTTTTTGAGTTCCCCAAAAAGTGGCGCCCAACGTAAATGGCTTATTTTTCCAATTATTTTTGTTTATTTGTTGTCTCATTTTTATTGTTTGTGGTCTATTAACTAATTGGGGGTATTTTCGGTATAAATTTTCATTTTAGCTTTGTTTTAAAAAATTGGCGCCCAACGTGGGGACAATTTTTTTAATGAAAAATCAAAAAAATTTTTTGATTTCAAAACATGACATTCAACGTGGGTAATTTCATACTCAACATCTCCTTGTTGTCTTGTTTCACAATTTTATGGAATTTTTAGACTTCCCCAAAAGTGGCGCCCAACGTAAATGGGGGCATTTGCCAATATTAGTTTATGTATTTTTTGTTCCCTATTTGTTTTTTGGGATCTATATAATAATTTGTGGAAATTTTTCCGAATAAATTTTCTTTTTAGCTTAGCTTTAAAAAATTGGCGCCCAACGTGTGAAAAAAATTTTTTTATAAGAAAACCTGAAAAATTTACTTCGATTGCAAAACATGACAATCAAGCGAGGCTAATTATGTTGTCAACATCTGCATTTTGTTGGTGATTTGAAAAAGTGGCGCCCAACGTAAGGTTCCATTTTTATTTTCTTAATAAAATCCACAGTTAAAGTTTGATTTTGGAAAAATTTCGCCCAAATTTAGTTTATTCCTCCATAAAGTGCAAATTTCAGCTTTAACCCAGAATTTTATTGCATTTTTTCAAGGTTCTTGAAAAGTGGCGCCCAACGTAAAAAAAATATTTTTCTTTTTTGGTTTATCTCCTGTCCCATTGTGGCCTAAAAAATCAATTTAATATTTTTGGCTTCAATTTATTCATTTATAAAATCCAAATAAAATTTAAATCCAATATTTTATGTTATTTTTTTAAGAGTTCGCAGAGTGGCGCCCAACGTCAAAGTGATCAGACTTTTCCGTTATTTTCCCCCCTTTTTCTATTATTGTTTGTGGTCTATTTAAACTGTTAGTTAATGTTATTGCTATTATTGTTGTTTTTTATTGTTTTGTTGTTGTTGTTTGTTTGTTATTCCAGACACTTACCAATGCTTTAGAATACGCATTTTTGTTGCTGTTGTTGCGGTTTTGCGCTACCAAACGGGCGCTTTCGTAATCCAATTACCGATCCAAGTTTAATTGAGTTTTTTTTCTCGTGTGCCGTTATAAATTTTCTGTTTTTTTTTTTCAATTTTTTCTTCTTTTTTTAATTGTGTTTTTAGATTTTTTGTTGTTGTTGTTTCTTAGAAAACTATCACATGTTGTTGTTGTTGTGGTTTTTTATTTTAGCACTTGTTGTAGAATATTACAGTTTGTCTTACAGTTAAACCATGGTTTTTTTTGTTTTGAAAATCTTAACTGAATTCTAAAGGGGGAAAAAATTAAAAAGAGGGAGGGGGATTTTTTAGAAATATTGATTTTCAGTGGTTCGAAAAAATATTTTTTTTTTATTTTTAATTTAATAAATTTTTTATTTATTTTTAATTTAAAAAATATTTTTTATTTATTTTCAATTTAAAAATATTTTTTATTAATTTAAAATTATTTTTTTATTAATTTTTTAATTGAAAATTAAATTTAATTTTTTTAATTTAAAATTATTTTTGATTTATTTTTAATTTAAAAATATGTTTTTTTATTTATTTTTATTTTAAAAAAATATTTTTTATTTATTTTTATTTAAAAAAAATGTTTTGTTTATTTTTTATTTAAAAATATTTTTTATTTATTTTTATTTAAAAAATTGTTTATATTTATTTTTTTATTTTAAAAATATTTTTTTTATTTTTATTTTTAATTAAATTTTTTTAATTTTTTTAATTTAAAATTTTTTTTGATTTATTTTTAATTTAAAAATATTTTTTTATTTATTTTTATTTTAAAAATTTTTTTTATTTATTTTTATTTTAAAAAATATTTTTTATTTATTTTTATTTTAAAAATATTTTTTTATTTATTTTTTATTTAAAAATATTTTTTATTTCAAAAATTGTTTATATTTATTTTTTTATTTTAAAAATATTTTTTTATTTATTTTTATTTTTAATTTAAATTTTTTATATTTATTTTTAATTTAAATTTTTTTTATATTTATTTTTAATTTAAAAATTTTTTTTTTTTTAATTTAAAAAATTTTTTTTATTTTTTTTAATTAAAAAATATTTTTTTTATTTTTTTAATTTAATTTTTTTTTATTTTTAATTGGAAAATTATTTTTTTATTCGATTATTATTTGTATAAGTTTTTTTTAATTTTAAAAATATTTGAAATTTTAGTTTTATTTATTTTTTTTTAATTCCTCTCAAACCGTTACGCTTGCTTGTTGCAGCTGAAATGTTTTCATTTTGTTAAGCCTCAATTAATTTTTATAGCATTGCATTTTTTTCAAACCCCAAAAAAAAAACTTAAACGAAAACAGAAAAATATTTTTGTTATGAAAATAAAAAAAAAATATTTTCAAATTCACCCAAAATGGTCTAAGACAATTTTTTTCCTCTGTTTTCATTTAAGCCATTTTTTTCGTTTTTATTTCTTTATGGCCACATTATTTGTTATGGTGGTCAGCCATGCCATGCCAGCCAGGTCTGGTGTTTGGGGAATGCAAAAAATGTAGAAATTTCAAATAAAGCCATAAAAAGGTTTTCAAACAAGTTTACAACACTTTTGTTTTTTTAGTTTTATTTTTCATTATTTTTCTTCCATTTTTTTGTTTTCCTTTTTCAGAGCTTGAACACAATGGATCAATGACACCGGAGAGTAAGCAGCACCACAGTTGGTCAGATGCACAATCAAGGGTTTGGTTTGGGGAATTTTATTCCGCTTTTTATTTCATAGATTTTTTGTTTCTTTATTAATTTTTATTTATTTTTTTTTATTCCACAAAAAACCGTTAAAATTTTGAATTTTTTTGTTTCGATTTTTTCTTTTTTTCTTCACAAATTCTTTTCAATTTTTCATTCACAAATAACTCCACACCAACCATTTGTGTTTAACCGTATGTTTGCTGGCTCTGTTGCAGCAAGTTTTTTCTTGTTTTGTTGTTATTTTTTGTTTGTTTCTGGTTTAATGTCTGCGCGCCATCACTAACTCGAACGAAACTCAGTCACGTTTGTTGCACGGTCATGTACATACTGATGTCGTTGGCATGCAGGCTTTACTTTACAAGTCCATGTTTAGAGCGCAGCAGCAGAGGATTTTTAGCCTGGTCGGTCGAACGGTTGGTTTTAGGCTACCTAGCTAGGCATAAACAATTGTTTTGCCTGGCTGCATGACTGGCTTTGTCTGTCCGACAACACACACAAAACACATCTATACGAATCCATCGTGTATATCAGTCGTTAACCATCATTATTAACAACAACAACTCACAGAAAAGCAACAACAACAATAGCAGTAACAAAACAACATTGTATTTTGTTTTTGGTTTACTGGCTAACTAACATACATACACACACACACACCACACACAATCAGTGGTCGTTGTCGGCCTAGCACAATAACACATAACAGCAACAACAACGTCATCGCCGGTGACGACGACGACGGCTAACAGCAACGAGTAGTTGGTTGTTCGTATTTTCTGTTGTTCTGTTTCGTTGAGAGATGAGATGCCCATCATCGCACGTTATTTCCCTTCAGGTGAACAGGTAGTTGTTGTTGGTAAACAATGTAACACAAACTCACACACACACACTCTCGCTCTCCCTCTATGACTAACTCCCTATCTCACTGAGTACGTGAATCCCAGTGTATGTCGTGTATGCACTTGCATGCATGAAGAAGCCAGCATTTGTTTTGTTGTTGTTTATATGCATGGCTAGTGGACATGCATGGGGCTGTGTGGCTATGTGTGTGTGTGTGTGTGTGTGGGGAGGCTGTGTATTATAGGCAAGGGAGCCATTCAAGCATAAAGGCAACAATGTGTTTGCTCTCATTGCTCAATTCTCCCCCCATTATTATAAATATAAGCCTCTCATAGTTTGTGGATTTGTTATGATTGCGAGCAGAGTTTTACCTGTTGGATTTTCTGTTTTGTTTTGCTTTTTTTGCCACAAGGCTTTACAGCCAAGGAAAAATGTTTGGGTAAATTATAAAGTGATTTTGGGAAGGGAATATTTAATATTTTTATGGGGAAAATAATGGATTTTAAATTTAAAAAATAATAATAAAGAAAATAAAATAATAAAAAAGAAAAAAATTAAAATAATAAAAAAATTTTTTAAATTGCCGAAAATTTTATTAAAAAAAAAATTTTTAAAAAAAAAAATAATTTTTGAAGACAATATGAAAGAAAATAAATTGTGGAAAAAAACAAAAATCTTAAAAATTGCCGAAAATTGTATTAATAAAAAAAATGGAAAAAAAATTTGGGAAAAAATTAAAAAAAAATAAATAAAAATTTAAAGTTAAAAATTTCTATTTTGCGATTTTTTTGCCACAAGGCTTACAGCCAAGGATATTTGTTGGGCAAATCCTAAAGAGATTTAGGAAGGAAATATTTAATAGTTTAAGGGGGAAATTATGGATTTTAAATTAAATAAAAAATAATAATAAAGAAAATAAATTGTGGATAAAAAAGATAAAACAAAAAATTAAAAAAAACCAAAATGTTTTAAATTGCCAAACATTTTAATAAAAAAATCAAAAAAAAAAATAAAAATTAATTAATTAAAAATTAAATTTAAAAATATTAAATGCTTGAAGATAATATAAAAGAAAATAAATCGTGTATAAAAAAGATAAAAAATATTAAAAGGAATTAAAATTTGCCGAAAATTTTATTTAAAAAAATTAGAAAATTTTTCTATTTTGCGATTTATATTAAACATAAAATAACGAAAATTTTATTTAAAAATATTCAAAAAAAAAATAAATAAATAAATAATGGAGGCAAAATTTTCTAATTTCGATTTATATAACCCAAATTTTTTCAAAACAAAAAATACATAAAAAATATGTTTTTGCTTTGAATATATTTTTTTTTAATTTATATAAAATAAATACATTTTTAAATATAAAATGACGAAAATTTTATTTAAAAATATTAAAAAAAAATGGCGGCAAAATTTTCTAATTTGCGATTTATATAACCCAATTTTTTTCAAAACAAAAAAATACATAAAAAAATATTTTTTTTTTTTTGCTTTGAATATTATTTTTTTAAATTGATATAAAATGAATTGAAAAATATTTTTAATTAATTTTTATTAATATTTATTAAAATTTTTTTATTTTTAATTTCCTACCCTTTTCCTTACTTACACCCAAAGAAAAATCTCCGTATTAAAATTTCTAAAAAAAAGCCTCAACCAAGGCCCTTGGTTATTAAATAATAACAAACCAAGAAGAAAGTCCAACACAACAAAAGGTTAAGTTGGCCTCACCATCAACTAAAACATCAACAACAACGGCTACAGCAACAATTAACAACAATCCCAGCAGCTGTAAGAAGAATGTCGTCGTTATTTTTTGGTCGAGTTCTTTTTTTTGGCCAAAAGGCATAATTTGGTTATTAATAAAAACAAACAAGCAACCGAACAAGCAAACCTTGTAGGCAACAAAGGAAACACACATACGAGTACTCATACGAACAATCATGCACAGACACACACTCCCGCTCCCTCTCTCTCTCATGTACCCGAAGAAAAAAAAAACCGTTGGAGTTAACAATGTGGTTGATTCATACAGAATTGTTGGGGGATAGTCGAATGAAAAAGGATATGGAAACAAAAGAAGAAAAAAAAACAACTACAAAAATTCGGCTGGCCGACTGACTAAGCAACCACAACAAAACAACAATCACACTCCCTCATATTATATGAATATGAAAATCATTCAAACGATTTATCTCTTCACATCAAAATCTGGCATCACAAAGAAAAAAAAAGAAATAGAAGAGGATAACCGACACCACCTCGATCCTCGTCATCAATAAGACATGAATTCCTTGTTATTTTTGGTTCTTTATTTTATTCTTTGGGGGATCAGAGATGACTCAAAGAAAAAGGTTTCGTGTGTGTGAGAGAGATTTCATGGCAATCAATCCCGAGGTTTTGTTACGAGAAGTTGTAGA